AATGTATGCTTTTGGATCCTATCAACATTTAATGGAAACATGATTATGCAGGAGAGTGTTTAATATACCACTATTATAACCAGAAATGTAGATGAAAATTTTAAATAGCTAAAGGATTTAATAAAATTAATAAAGAGGAAATGAAAGACAGATGTTAAAAAATTGCCTTGTATGAAAAGAATATATACTGTTCTATTAACCTTTATTTGTTTAATAAGTAATTCATTCTATACTTCTATAAATTGAAAACAAAAGAACTTCAGCTCCAAAAAGGAAGATGTTATCTTGTCTGTCTTCTCTGGTCAGAGTATTAAAATATAAAAAAATTATAATGTTTTATTGCTTATATATTTTATTTATTTGAGAAGTTGGGAGGGAGGGAAAGAGGGAGAGAGATTTCAAGAGAGCTTCCATCTGCTTATTCAATCCCCAGATGTCTGCAACATCCAGGACGAGGCCAGGCCAGAGCCAGATATCTAGAATTCAATCTGAATCTCCCACAGGGGTGGTAGGAAAGTACTTACATTACTTCCCAGGGTGCACTTTAGCAGGGAGCTGGAAACAGAAGTGGAACTGGGACGTGAACTCCAGCACTCCAGTGTGGGACATAGGCATCCCAAGAAGCATCTTAACAACTACACCAAATGCCTACCCCTAAGTGTCGCTCCCCGTCTTCGTGGAGGAACGACACAGGACCCTGCGCTGTTCTTTCATCTTCTCGGCCCTCCCCGGGTTTGCTGCTGGTTCTTCCCGGGTTGGCTACCATCCCTTCCACCTCCGTGGAAGGGCGGTTCCCCCTGCCACATTCCCCACTTCCGCGGGGGAGCGGCACACCGCCAGCCGGCTCTCTCGGGGGCTGCACAGGTGTTCCTCTTAGATGTTCCTTTAGATGTTCCTGGTGCATGCCGTCTCTCTCCTCCTTTATAGTCCTCCTCCGCCAATCCCAACTCAGCTGCCCACATGCCGAGTACGCTGCTCTCCTCCAATCAGGAGCAGGATCAGCTCCTGGAGGTCATCACTCAAGTTGGCAAGAGGCAGCTGTGTAGAAGCTGTTGCCTCCTCTCCCAGCACCATATTGTGGGAGAGCAGATGCATAGAATAAGTCTTAATTCCAGTAACTCAGTCCAGTCCGGGTTGCTCCCCACACTAAGATATTTTATTAAGCAATTAGAGTAATGCTGAACTGTTAGCTGAAGAAAGGAAAAATATATAAATAACTACATAGCTGGTTAAGCTGCAATCTGCAACGCTGGCATCTGATATGGGTACTAGTTCTAGCCGTGGCTGGCCTGGTTCCTATCCAGCTCCCTGCTAGTTCACATGGGAAAGCAGCAGAGGATGACCCAAGTACTTGGGCCCTTGCACCCATATGGGAGACCCAGATGAAGCTTCTGGTTCCTAGCTCTAGACTGGCCCAGCCCTAGCTGTTGCAGCCATTTGGGGAGTGATCCAGCAGATGGAAGATGTCTTTCTCCCTCTCTCTCTCTCTCTCTCCTTTTTTCTGTCTCCTTCTCTCTCTGTAACTCTGCCTTGAAGAACGAAATGAATCTTTTTAAAAAGAAATAACTACGTACCTAAATAAAAAGATAATTTTGGTATATAACAAGATAATTTTGATATACTTTAATATATTAAATATGATAATAATACTAAATATAAATTATTTCTGATTTTTCTTAGAGGTAAATTCTGAATAAAGAAATTCTTCCAAAACATCCCCCAAAAAAGTCAGTTGGGACCTTGTACCAAAACAAGGGACGGTTTGATTTGTAAGAAGAATCACTAGGGCAGAAGAGGGTGAGCCATGAAATTGGAGTGAAAAGGCTTCAACATCAACATTGCGTCTGGTTCCAGTTGTTGTCAGTTCCTTCCCAAACTGCTTTTACTTTTGGTCCCTTTGTAGTCACTAGCTATGCCAACCTACAACATACAAACAAAAAGATCAGAGAAAGAGGAATCCTTTAAGAGTAATGGCAATAGTAGATCATTGAAGTGGGAAAGGATAGTATTGCACGGAGAATATAGATCCACAGTAAAGTAGGAGCATGCTTAAGGAAGTTGAGACAAGGGATTGTTTTTCTTTAAGATAAATAAAATAATTAATTAATTTAAAATACAGAGTGATGGAGAGTAGGAGAGGAAAATAGAGAGAGGAGGAGGAGGGAGAGGGAGCAGGAAGGGGGAGAGAGAGAGAGAGAAAATCTTCCATCCTCTGGTTTAGTCTCTAAATAATTGAAACAACCAGGGATGGGCCAGGCTCCAAGCCAGATGCCGGGTACTTCATCCAGATCTCCCACAGGTACAGGGACTCAAGTACTTGAGCCATCATTGACTACTTCCCCAGCGCATTAGCAGGGAGCTGGTTGTAAGGCAAGAAGCCGAGACTTGAAGTGTCCCTGTGATATGGGATGTGTTCCAAGCCACAGCATAAACCACTGTGCTATACACCTACACCAAAGTAAGGGTTTAAAGGCAAAGATGAGGAGGATTATATTACATATTTTAAAATAATAATCTTTAGCCACAAGGACTGATAACTAGAGGGCTATTAGAACAAGTTTCAAGTTTTTGATTGAAAGTAAAATTCTTCTCCTAGTCACATGTAGGAGATAAAGAGAAGAAAAGGGGGCATGTTGTGTTAGTGGTAGTAGTGGTAGTGATGGTAGAATAGTTAACTGGAAAATAATTATGTTGATCAGAAACATTAAAGGGTCAAATGAACTATGATTTAGATTGGGCTGGAATGGACTAATAGAATTGGGAGAAGGTAAAACTTTAAGTTATGTATTAAATCTGAGGGTTACAACCAAAGAGAGAGAGAGAGAGAGAGAAAGAGAGAGAGAGAGAGAAGGGAAGGTATTGTCTTCCATGTAAAGTGTCAGATCTCTTCAATTTGATGTTAAATTGCCAAGGCCCTCAGTTTTGACTAAAAAAAATCACCTTCTCTTTCTTTGGTGCTCCTTCAGCATGTGTCAAACGGAGCAGGTGCCAATAAGAAAAATGTGCCTTTCCAAATTTCAGCTGCTCATGTTTCAGAGTATCTCTGCCTAGCTTCAGGACAAGTATGCATCTCGATTTCAAGGACCTTAGCTGTTAGAAAATACAAACTTGCAAATTTATAAGTCAAGATTATTATCCATATGACAAAACGCTATCACAATATTTTCCTAACAAAGTCAATTTTCTCAACACACTGACGTGTTATTGAGTGTCTTTGAGACGTTTCCTTTCAGAATCACTTCTATGATGGATGATATGAAGTATGTGATAGACAGCTGTGACAGATGATGAACTTATGTGAAACTTTGAATTCTTTAATGTTAAAAAATAATCCTGGCATTATAAAATTAAAAGCATCAGGGTCTCAACTTCTAGCTATTGGAGAAAACTATGATTTCTTGATTTTCATAAATAGCAACTACAGAGTGGTATGAACCATGAGAATTGACAAATGGTAATACATATAATAAAACATAGTATTAAAAGATCCATAATCTAACACACTAACAGTCAATAATTTGAATACTAGCTTCACCAATTACTTAGTAACCTTGGGCAAACCCTCCGGCTAGATTAAATCTCAGTGTCATTATCTGTAGAATGGTAACAATAATATTTTTTAAAGTGCTGTGAATTTTATGAGAATCAGGATACATAATATTACTTTTGTGAAATCTAAAGCCTCAGACAAATATTAGTGTTACTGTATTTTGTAGCTGCAATCCATAGACCAGGCTGAAAGGCCTTGCAAAAGCACAAATTCGACAATTATAAAATCAGGAAGGACTCTGTGGTGGACAAGGTTATCTTATATGTACACCTGGAAAATAATGAATTAAAAAAAAATTCAGCCTTGGCACCCACCGGACAAAAGGGTCACCTTGATGTATAGTTAATTGAATATTCTGGCATAGGCTGGCACATATGTCAGCTTCTTCCTGTGAGGACTGAAGTGAAAAAAATTCTATCACAGGAAGAGCTTAGCAATTAAAAACTGAGTGATTTAGCTTTTTATTTACATTAAACTTTCAGGCCAACCCAAAATTCTCACTTCCTGTCAGCTGTGTCAGTTATACAGAAGAAAATACTCTGTTAGGAAAAGAGGCACAGAACAGAGGAGGCGGTATACAAATCTGCAGTCAGACCAAATTTATTCACAGGAAATAAATTTGTAGAGGTGGGTGACCAACTGCCGGCTTGCACATTTATGGAACCTGCGGCAGGAGGCCCTGACCTCAGGGGCCCAGCCTTTTTATATCTTAGGAGGGCTAGGGATAGCGATAGCGGGCAGCAGGTGGAGGTGAATTCCTGGAACTGTTCTTTCAGGTGGCCTCAAGGGACCCTTAGAACCTGGGGAATAATGTGATATGGGGGAGTGGTGTAAAGGCAATAGGGTATGAGACCCAGCTGAGATTCAAGGGCAAGGAAAAAATTCTGATCTTTTTCTATCTTTTGAGCAATAAGCAAGAATGGCTATGGCTTATGTCTTTGTTCCATCAATTCTGACTCTGAGTATAGGTAAGGAGAAGGCATGGATTTCTTTCTGGCTACTTCGTGCTGATTCAATGCATAGACATGGAGCGAGGACTTGAGCAGGGGTCTATACTCGGGATCGGATTGACTGAAGAAGAAGAGCAGTCTTGTGCTGTTCCTGCGAGATGGCTTGAGATATGGCAATTATTTATTCCTGCAAGAACCTTTGGAATAAGTTAAATATACATGGCTGAAACAGGAACACTATGATGATGAAGACAAATACTAGAGACATTGCCCACGGCAGAAAAGATGGCCAAAATAAGGCAGAGTTACCTTGTGAATAAATCTCATACAAAAATTCTATCACAGGAAGAGCTTGGCAATAAAAAAAAAATCATTTAGCTTTTTATTTGCATTAAATATTCAAGCCAACCCCAAAATTCTTACTTCCTGTCAGCAGTGTCAGTTTTACAGAGGAAAATGCTCTAACGACAATTGTTATTTTCACACTATTATTTTTTTAGAGTCATCCTGGCAGAGATTCAGCTGAAGGATAGGAGATACATCCTATTAAATAATAACCAAAAATAATACATTAAATCAACAAAATGTGTATCTGACCTGAATATTCTATGAACTTTGGGCAAAATAGAAAGAATCATAAAACAAGAGGAACCTCAAAAGGTATAGTCATTGCAAGAAATAGAGAAAGATAAATTTGGGATATTAATATTGTTACTACTTACAAGTATTTCATTTCTACAAGTTTCACATTGAAAAACTTTTACCATCAAATTTGGCACTACTAGTCACAGGAATTTTAGAACTTGTTTTCACAATGAATGTTTGTAGCATGTGGGCTGTTAGAGTTACACATTTCAAGAACGAATTCCTATTTATACTGAATGTATTATGGTTTATAATTTGTTATCTTAAAAGTAATGCATTTTAAATATCAAAACCACAGATATATTTACAGAGTATTTAGTGGCTTGTCATCATTTTCCATGTGTATTTTTTCCTGAATCTACTTTTTCGTTTTTCCCCGTGTGTGTACGTATCTTCTAACCATCATTATTAAGCTGAATTGGGCTGGCACTGTGGTGTGGTGGGTTAAGCCACGCCAATATCCCATATGGACTCTGGTTTGAGTCTCAGCTGCTTCCCTTCCAGTCCAGCTCCCTGCTAATGGCCTGGGAAGACAGCAGAGGATGGCTGAAGTGCTTGGGTCCCTGCTACCCATGTGGGAGACCTGGGGAAAGCTCCTGTGCAGCCATTTGGGGAGTGAATCAGTCTGATTCTGTGTTTCACATAAATAAAATCTTGGGGGAAAAAAAGAGATGGATTTTAAAAAAAGGAATGAGGCAGCAGTGCTGTGACATGGAGGGTTAAGCTGCCATCTGATGTGCTGGCATCCCATAGAGGAGCCAGCTGCTCCACTTCTGATCAAGCTCCCTGCTGATGTACCTAGGGAAGCAGCAGAAGTGCTTGGATCCCTGCACCCATGTGGGAAATCTGGAAGAAGCTCCTGACTCCTGGCTTTGGATTGACCCAGCTCTGGCTATTGAGGCCATTTGGGCAATGAACCCCAAATGGATGAAAGACCTTTCTCTCTGTCTCCCCTTCTCTCTGTTTGGAACTCTGCCTTTCAAATAAATAAAAATAAATTTTCAAAGAAAAATGGATGGACTAAAAAGATGATTTTAATATCTGTATATTTCATTATACAGATGAAGTCATTTTTTTTTCCAATCAACATTTTCCCTCTGCAAGGCAACTTTTCTGGGTTAATTTTTTAAAGTGCAACAAATATATATATATATATATATATACATATACACACATACATATACATACATATATAGAGAGAGAGAGAGAAAGAAAGAGAGAGTTTATTTTCTTAGGGTGGTAAGTCCTTAGAAATGCACTTTTTTAAAAAGATTTTTATTTATTTGAGAAGTAGAGTTACAGACAGTGAGAGGGAGAGACAGAGAGAAAGTTCTTCCTTCCATTGGTTCACTCCCCAGATGGCTGCAATGGCCAGAGCTGTGCCAATCCAAAGTCAGGAGCCAGGTGCTTTTTCCCAGTCTCCCATGCCTGTGCAGGGGCCCAAGGATTTGGGCCATCTTCTACTGCTTTCCCAGGCTATAGCAGAGAGCTGGATGGGAAGAGGAGCAGCTGGGACTAGAACTGGCACCCATATGGGATGCCAGCATCAAAGGCGGAGGATTAACCTACTGCGCCACAGTGCTAGCCCCGAAACGGACTTCTTAAGACAAACAACTTTAAAGGTATTAGTACTCATGACAAGCCTATGTTTTCCACACAGAGTCACTACACACTGCAATGTAGGCATTTGGAGTCATGGAAGAGGTCACTGTTGAATTTGATTAAGTCAAATCAGCCAGATAAGAAAGGCAGAAAGGACATCGTTAGAATGATAATACCTGGTCAGAGAAAGAAGACATAGAGGATTTTAAAATATGTCCCTTCTACTTGAGAAAACTGGAATGATGGACATACTACTTATCAGAAAATCTGCTTTCTAAAGACGATTTATATTTATATTTCTGACTGAGATTTCAAAGCAATGAAAAGTTAATGGTGGGTCAGCATTGTGGAGCAGAGGGTAAAGGTGCTACCTGTGTAACCAGCAACCCACAGGGACATTGGTTTGTGTCCCATCTGCCTCACTTCTGATCTAACACCCTACCAATGGCCAGGGAAATGGAAGATGACCAGTGTTTGGGCTTCTGCCATCCATGTGGGAAATCTGAATGACGTTCTGGCTTTGGCCTGGCCCAGTGTGACCATTGCAGCTTCTGAGGTGTGAACCAGTGAATACAAGATCTCTCTCTCTCCCTTTCCCTCCCCCTATTTCTCTCTTCCTCTTTCTCTCTCTCCCCCATCTCTATAACTCTTTCAAATAAAATAAACACATATAAAAATATTATGCTGATAATTTGCACACCTAAATAAAAAGTTTGAGTTTTTTGCAACGAAGCTTAGTGTCCAAATTATCAATTTTGAAAACATAATGCACTGACTATGATAGTAGCAGGAAAAAGATGGTACATTCCAAGAGGTTATCAAATAGGCTTTCAGTCACATGACTGTTTCCAAATGTTGAGCAGAGATAGGGAAACCAACAAGGGCTCCCAGGACACTAGAAAGAGTAGGTCCTAATGTAAGTCAGAATTTGAAGGTCCAGAGGGGACCCCATGTCACCTAAGCCCTATTCAGAACCCTGGCTGCTGGAGAGAAGCTATAGTGTAAAGGTGTATCTCTGCCAACATTGCAGCTCAGAGAAGTAGGACTGGGAAAACATACAGGAGCACATGGTAATCTCTCTTTCTCTTGCCCTCTCATTTCCTGCTTGCTGCTTTCTCTGATTGAATCCAAATGGAATCTGGAATATGGTTAATATTATCCATAGAATGGAGCTGTTTTGAGCATGGATCAGAAGGGAAAGAACTTGGAAAAGGTCTTTTTTTTAGGTGGTACCTCCCTTTGGAGAAATAGGCAATGTAGATTGTATACAACTCAGTCCATGTTCACATTTCCAAGAAGTGTGTTTGATGGGATTTCTGCTTATTTGCCTTAGGAGCAAGGCTCAAAGGAGCATATTTAGAGAAAAAGCTTACAAAGGCCATAAAATATATGCAACTTTCTCTCAGCATCATTAATAATTAACATTTCACAATAATCAACAGAAGATAGATCAGATGAGACAGGAGGATTCAAGATCGTAAAGTTTGCACTCTTTGCAAACAAAAAGAAATTTCCAGATAGTTTGAGCTCAAGTTCATCTTTTGACACCAATGGGATTGTGTGAATTCTGACAGTAGATCAAAGGATATAAAAAATTGAGTATATTTTAGAAGTAATATTTTAATAATGTTAGTTCCTGATTCTGATAAATGTGCCATGGTTATATAAGATGATAATATTAAGGAATCTGATGAAGGGGGTAAGTTACCATTTTATAAATTTAAGACTATTACAAAGTAAAAATGTAGAAAGTGTGGGAAAACTATCTATAAGCCATAGCAAAAGTGAAACTGAAGCATCTTGTGACAAAAACATAACTACGCCTCCAATTTATAAAAAAACAAATGAACTTTGAAAGAGGACTAGGGAAGATTTGGAAGTACACCGGGAAGTATATAGATTCTGAGCTCAGATTTCTACCATTCAGTGACAAGTAAATGTGAGAAAACTCTAAGGTCCATGCCTCAGTTTACTCATCTAAGTAAAGGGAACAATACTAGTACTTACCTCTGAAGGACTACTGTGAAGATTTAAAATGAAATTATATATTTAAATCATATTATATGCCTGATGATAAGGGCATAATAAGACTATTTTTATTATCAATAATGTTACTTCTATAGTCATCCAAGTATTTTTGCTTCATCCTTACCTCTTCTGTTTCTCTCCTGACATGACTAAAAATGCATTAAAATCTGGCATTATTATCAGAACTTGACATATGGGGCAACTTAGACTGAGAGGCATTATAATAATTGCTGTGATCATCTCTTAGACTGTAAAAGAATGAATCTCCAAATTACTTACTTTAAATGTTGATGCTTTTGCCATGGTCATACTGTCACTTTTATAGAAAATCTATGCTCTTTTAAAATACAAAGTAGAAAAGAGCTTATTCCTCATAACATTATTATCTAGCATCTGCTTGCACACCCCCACACCCCCAATTACTTCCAGGGACCTGTTTCCTAAGGCTCACCAATTCCTTGGCTGTCTACTCAAGACTGCATAAAACATAACTTCCTACTCCCTTTTTATAGCCTTCTGCAAAGTAAAAAGATCACCTCTAAACTGAAGGGCTTCCTGGGATTAGGGAGAGGGATATATCTCCTCTCGACTATTCAATTACTACAGTGCATGGATCATAGCACCTAGACAAATTGGCCACACTACAAGACCGATGCCCCACTTTGCTTAATTGTTGGATTATAGCACCCGGGAGACATGCCTCGAAGGCTTTGTGACTTTGCAATCCTGTCATATAATGTCAATCACAGATCCGTGACTCACAGGAAAACTCAGAGCTGTGCAGATGGCGTGTTGTTCATCAACTGACTATTGCTACGAAGTAAAAAGCTGGATGTGGGGTGTGTTGACAAAATAGTGTTTACAGTCCCTCGGAGTGTGGAAAAGATTTCCAACCCTTTCTTACACTCGTCAGCCAGATGGTCTATTTATTATCCCTTCACACACACCTCTGTTGCCAAGCATTTATCACTGTCACTTATAAATCTTCATCCTCACGGAGAGCAATGTATTGATATCTCTTCAATTCATGATGTGAATTCGTGATACTCCTGGACTGTGAGAAATGGGCAGTTGCGTAGTAACCCAGGGGTCTGTCAGTTCCCAGAGGAAGAGAAACTTATTAATTAAGGCACCCATTTGTATAGTGTTACAAATAAGGTGGCTGCTTTTCCCCAGAGGGTTCAGGTAGTGGAGTGCCTTGAAACTGGACCCTTATCTTTTGATACAACCAAAGCAATAAAATGGGAAATCAGAAATAGTCACATAATTAACTTCCCAGTGAGTGCAGTTTCAGTTTCAGCTCACAGAGGCTATGATGCAAAGAGAGCAAAAGAAGATTTTTGATGTGTTTGAGTCCCTATGCCTGAATCCATCACTCTAATGGA